TCCTAGCTCTGCTGTAGCCCTTCTCCTGGCACATCACTCAGGCTGCTCAATTTTCTGGCTTCTGCTTCTGTAATAAAGAGATAATAGCACATACTAATCTCACAGGAATATTGGGGCTTGATAGCTCTTAAATGCCACGGAGCTGTGGAAATGAACTTGATCAAAACCTCCTTAATGCTGCAATCTGGAGAACATCCAGAGTGCAAACAATTGCCAGTGCAAGTATTTTGGGTGTTTACATGCATGTGGACATTTTCAGAAAGCCTGAGTAAGAAAATGTCTTTGTGATGTTCGTGAAGGAGGAATCTCAGTGATGTCAGAAAAACCATGAACAGTAAATTCAGGCCCAGGCCAGGCTGTATTTAACCCCTAAGGCTTTTACTTGGTTAACTCCAAACACCACTTGGAAAGATGGAGAATTTACAAAGTGCACAGAAGAACCCATCAGAAAGAAACAGGGACTGAATTGTTAAAAGAGAAGAAGGAGAAATTAGGAAATTGCTACAATATTTCTTTACATGTACATTTCTATACAGCCAAGGGAATTTACAATGCTAATTTTAGTTACAGAGTTGTAATTTGTGATAATCTACGGTGATATTTCAAAATAACCCCTGTGTTAGGAGTCTGCTTCATGTTTTCAAGATGTCCTATTCAATTTCAGTGAGCCTTATGCTCCTGAATCTGCTTTGAGAGAGTAACTGTAGCTGCCCAAATAAATACAGAAATCACCTGCAGCAGTGATAAAGCACAATCTAAACAAGGACAGCTCCTTTATTTCTGTAGGAAGATCATGGTTTCAGTGAGCTGAGCAGCAGAATCACCTGTAAATCACAGGCAGACCACTGATACTCTGGTTTGTAGCCCTTTTACCATTCCGGAAATGAGAAATTATAGCAGTGGTTTAACAGTGACTCCTATAAACCTGCTCCCACATAACTGCTCCTTCATCCAAAAAAATGGTGATTTTAGTCATAAAAACTTCACATTAATGACAGCAAGGAAAAAAACCCACAACATTTTCTTCCCCTGTGGTAAATGAAACCTTGGAACATGCAGATTTTAAAAACCCCAAGCCCACCAAATTAAACAAAAGAAGTATATTTAGCTGCCTAAACAGGAAAGCACATTTCTAGTGAAACGTATCTAACTAATGGAAAAGCAATATTACAAATCAGCCACCTAACACTGAATTACCTCACAGCAGCACTAGGAAAAAAAAGAAGATAAATCCAGCAGAGGTCAGGCTCAGCTACCCTAGTTAAGCTTTTTCTGAAGCAAAAACATCCATGAGAATATTCTGCTGCTCATCATTAGGAGTGGGTAAATGCCTCGCTGCTCCCGGTCCTTAATGAATTCCTACAATAACTGTTGAAGATATTTGAAGATATTGCAAAACAACAATGAATAATAGGACAGTGGAGCAGATCCTAACAACTAAACAGTTCCCCATCCTAGCTGGGATAAAGTAATGGAGCAGAACTTACTGCATCATTTACGTTGTCTAACTACCATTCTTCATCCCTTTTTTACTGTAATTTGCACATATCAGTAATTCAAAGTGCTGCAATTTAAAAAATATTCAACTCTCTAGACTAATACTCTCATTCAGACTGCATCAGAATAGAGAGAGAGGAATAAAAAAGAATACCATCATTAATTTTTTTTTCTTCTATATTTTTTAGAATAAAGTTATAATATTGGTTTCTTTCTAAGAGAATTGTGGTATTTTATAATAGGTCTCTTTCACAATTATTTTTTTTTCACATCTCTCAGGTAGAAATCCCTAGATCACACTAAACTCCTCAGACTGCTCCGTGGCATGCTATGATGTTTTGGAAAATAGATTTATTCTTTTAACAATTTTTCAAGATGTGTTTAATGAGGAGGAAAAAAGGACTCATAATGCCCTATAATATTCTCAATGCAATTACAGCTCTTTCTCTTCTATTTTGTTCCGCGTGTTTACAATTCCAAGGAAAACACAGCTCACTAAAATTAGAGAAAAGGGGTTTAAATGCCTTTCTTTCACTGCCTTTATAAGCCCTTCCTGTAGGTGCCTCTGCATCACTGCCAGATTGCTCTGCAAGGTAAGACTGGAGAGCAAAAGCCTTTTAGAATAAATATCTTTACATCCAGCAGGGTTTAAAACACGGATAACCATGGCAGAGCTTCCAAAGGATGAAGCTGTCAAATTAACAAGAAGCAGCACCCCTGGCTCATCCTTTCTCTGCTACTTTAAAATCTCCTAGTCAGGGAAAGGTGTTACTAATAAACAAGATCACTTAATTACAGTATGTTTATCAAATTATGGAACAGCTGTTGCTGCATGCACAACCTGAAGAGTAAGGAAAAAAAAAAACAGAATGGGCAAGAATTGTAGAAACTTTCGGCCAAACACTGAAACCCTGCTGATTTCTTATCCTTTTTCAGAGAGCTCCAGTGCAACACCAAAGAGAAATGTCTTGTTTGCAAAAGGATTGCAGCTTCAGGCCAGGGAGGTGTGCAGGGGAGGGCAAGGCACAGCAATTCATCTTTAGAATGAGCTCAGAAATGCAGCCCAACCCAAGCATCCAGCCCTGCCCTGGCAGCACTCCCAGCTCAACCCCAGCTCCTGGGTTCCACCTTGGGCTGGGGCAGCACAGCCAGGGCAGGGCGCTGCTCCCAGCACTGCCCTCTGCAGCATCCCCACCTCAGGGATGCCTCCAGGCAATGGGAAAACCTCTCCACACCGGGGAATGAGTGGAGACTCTGCTTTCTCTGGGTTTTACATTTCCATTCCTGCTCCAGACCCCCTGCCAGTCACTATTTGTCCCTGATTTCCCACTGTATAATCGGAACAATTCTATCTCCTCTGCCTGTCATGTTTATTTTCAATGGTTTTCTGTCTTCTATTGCTTTGTTTACTGGTTTGCTCAATGCACTGCAGCTTTGCTGGAGCACTGGAGGCATCACTGCACCATTAATAGAAGGTCAAACACCCAAATCCATAGGCTGTGAAACTGAATTTGAAAATCCAGGATCTCTCTAGTTAAAACTAGACTTACCTCAACATATTTCTCTATCAAAATGAAACAGGAAAACACTGCAAAGCAACTATAGCCAGGAATTGAACTGAAATTCAACCAAGGACGCTGAATACAAAATTCCATTATTACAAGAGATTTTGACAAGGAGCAGATATTCATTCCAACACATACAATTCCAACACCTTAACACCTGTGTGCTGGGCTGGAATTTGTGGTTTGAAATGCTTTTTTTTGGGCAGGGAAGGGAACAGAGCATTCCAGCAGTGTGGTGGCTGTGCCCCATGTCCCGGGGGTGAGGAGGGCATCCCGCCCAGGCAGATGGAGCTGCCAGGAGCAGCTCCCATCCAGAGCTGTTTCCAGGCAACACCCGGGGCTGGGGCTGAGCCTGCTGACACAGGGACCCCTCAGCTGATGGAGAGTCCTGCTGCTGCCTTATGGGCACCAGGAAAATCAGCAGCAAATGATGCACGTGGAGGTTTGGGAGCGTTAAACCTTCCTCAGGTTCCAAATGAGCATTTTCTTCTTTTTTCTTACTGCAGCTCCCCAAACCTCTGCTTTAGCTTGTTGAGGGAAAAACGAATATCTTTTCCTGGAAACTAAATTTATAGCTACTGAGGCACTGTGTTCACAGCCAAATTAATGTGAGCTTCCTCAAAACATGCTGTGATTATCTCAGGGACTGCTGTCTCCCCTGGGCTGGAAACCCCAACCTCCTTCGTACAATTTTCACCAGAATTTTTCTAACAAAAGCTGTCAATTGCATCAAATTCTGCTAAGGGCTGTAAGGTTATTCTGTGCTAGAAAATACTGTTCGTGACAGAGGAAAAGCTAAAAGCAACAAGCATGCTGAGCACTACAGAATTGATTTAAATCTATCCTCAAGATGAACAGGCTTTTTTTTCATCCAGTAAGCCAGGCAGTCTTTTTGAAATAATGAAACCTTATTTCAAAGACATTAGGAGGAAGATAGTGTTCAGTGTAGGAGAATAAATGCAAAACTCTTCTTCTTTTTTCTAGCAAGGACTGTGTGTCTAATTTTTTCAGTGACATGAAACTTTGTGTGTTGGAGCAGAGCTCAGCTTCTCACATGAATACAGTGGAACAAAAAAGTGAACATAGTCTATTATTTTGTCAATACCCATGTGCAACAAAGAATGAAGAAGAGTGTAATTATAAATGCATATAAGGCAAAAACATATTCAGCCTAATACAGAAAAAGCCATGCTCATCATCTAATACAAAATATCTGAGAACTGGGGTTTATTTTAAGCAGAGGATTATAAAAACTGTTTAAATATAAAATACACATCTACCACAAATTACACAGTTTTGTCTGACACTTCTGTGTTTACTATAAGTATAGAAAGCTATATCCTGAATAAAAAGTGCTTAATCATTATTGGTTTTATGTATGTGCTACAAAGAAAAACTTTTTTAAAGAATAAATTCCAAGAATGAATGAGCAACAAGTGGTTTGGATTTGAAAACCTCTTCTCAGAAAGGGAAAAGGCAAAAAATTAATTAGCACAAATACTTTTCTCACATGTCCTATAAATTTTGGAGCTTCATTCATGATACTCCCTATTCTAACTTTATAGAGAGCATTTTCTAAAGGACAGCATGATGCATAAATTATCCATTGCTGTTCTGAGGGCACAAAGTGTCTGTGAGTAATCTGTGCACAAAGTAAATCAGCCAAAGGTGCCACAAACACGACAGTGACACAACCCAAACAAGCACAAGGGAAACACAAGAGAAAATCACTTGAACCTCCAGCCAGAACCAGGCAAGATTCTCTCCTAAGGATGTCACTGCTGTGTGAAGAATAAAAGCCCCCAGAGCCTTTACTTGTGCTCTGTTAGCCTGGCCATGCAGCAAGCTGGGGAGTCCCAGGGATTTCTGCATTCATGGTGAGAGCACAGGAGAGATCTGGGAAAATCAACAGGCAAGGAAAAGAACCCAGGGACTTACTGAGAGGAGGCTCTGCTCATGGAAACAATAGGCACCACTTGCATGGGGCTTCTGGGGAGTTTCCTGGGGAGAGAAAATCAGATTCTTAGTGAGAATGAGGGATTCAGGGCAGCTCCTGCCTGTGCTCTGCCCTCACAGAAAGACCCAACAAGAAATACAATTGCTAATGCACTGCTTGGGCTGGCACTGCACACACTGGTGGGTCAGAAGAGTTTCTTTATTGGAGTACAAAGCCAAACTGCAAAATCTGGTTATCGATTCACAAGTGTGATTTTGTTATTTATTACACATTCCATGGACAGTTAATGCGTTCAGACAGCTTGCAATGCATTTGAAACAAAAAATCTATGTTTTCATTGCAAATTTTCCTACTAAAATAGACATTATTAAGCTCTAACTGTAAATTTTCCCTGGCACAGGTTTCTGTTTCAATAGGAACACACCACTGTAATTTGTTTTTTGTGTATCCTTCAATTGAAAATTGTGCAGCATTTTTGCAAAAGAAAAGTTGTGATAAAATGCATAACCAAAACGGGGGCATTCAGAATTTATTGTACAAGCACATATTTGGGAATTCCAATAGGGTAACACTCTACTCCATGCCATTCTTATTAATGAGCAGCTGTGACATGCAACATTTTACTGAATTATTCACTGAATTTTAGTAGGTACAGTAAGCTCAGCCATGTTTTACCTAACAGATTCTCCCTATGTGCATTTTTCATTTCCACGTGCAAAGGGCATTAGGGATTCTTTGATACAAACACTCCTGGAAATAGAATTTTTGTCCATATTTTGAGACTCCAAAGATAATACACACTTAGGTCAGAGTATAACCAAATCAATCTGTCAGTAAATTTAATATACTTTTTATCCACTTCAGTAAAATTCCTAATAGTAAGTATATTGGGCATTTTTTTTCACAAAATATCCTACCCCTTATATGTGGTTTCACTTTAAATAAAAATAAATAAATAAATAGAAATTTAAAAAAAAGAATCAGTGGAGTTTCTTTCTAATGAAACTGAGGAAAAATGGGAGCAAGAACCACCAGTAGCAGAAGGGTGCTCTATAAACATGTCAGGCAGATTGCAATAATCACACACCCTGATCAAAGAACTTCAGAGTTTGGGAAGGTGACAAGCAGGAGCATCAAACATTTGAATTTCTGTCTCCTTGGGGCTGGGACCATCACTAGGGGAGCATCTCAGGAGTTGGGAGCCAACTTCATACTGGTGCTCCCAGCAGCAATGGCACTGCCTGCCTGCCCAAACCCTCCCAACAACCAATTCCTGAGCTGAACACGCAGGTTTCCTCTCATTTATGTGATCTTGGGCAAAAGCAAGAGTGGCACTCTTAGCAACTGTCCCTCTGCACAGATTTCTGCCCAGCCAAGGGAACACCCAGCCCTGCTGGGCACTGCAGCCCCCTGGCAGCACCAGTGAGCTCAGGGCAAACCCCACAGCACTGGGGACATTCCACCACTGCAGGTCACAATGTCCAGGGTGTGTACAGATCCCTGGGCTGAAATTATCTGCCTTAGCAAGCACACTGAATTTGTTACCCAGCTACTCTGGCAATAACTAAACAACAAGCAGGATTTCAGGTATATTCACATGATTTTATGAAGCAACTTGCAGTAGAAGGAAATGCTGGAAGGAGCTGGAAAATGCCAGTAGTTTTGTGTGAAAAAAACTCCACTGAAATTGTGATAAAATCCCATTTACAGGCCCCAGGGTAACCTGGCTGTCTCTGAAATTGGGCATTACACCTTATTCTTCACACTGACACAAAATGCCATTGAGAGCTGCCCACACAGCTACAAGCAATCCTGTGGAGAAACACCACCTGCACATGGCCAGTGCTAAATTTCCTTTTCCACAAGTGCCATCAATTGTGGCAAAACACAAAACAGGCAAGTTTTGCACTCCTATGACTGAGAAATAAACTCCCAATCAGCCAAGCTTTGCTTGCAGCTGGTGTTACAACATCTGCACGTGACAGGCACACGGAGAGCAGCAGAACCTGGCCACAGTGCTCCTGCTTGTCACTGTCACATTCTCTGAAAAATCCCCTTGCCCAGGATTCTTCTCCTGGGAAGCTGAGAAGCCTCAGAGAAAAAGGAAAACAATATTATCTCGTTTGCTTCTCCTGTGTTTTGCTGCTTTGGAATGTGTTTGGAGATTGTTTATCCAGCTGGTCATTGTTTGATTGGTTTCATGTGAATTGTTTCAACTTAATGACCAATCACTGTCCAGCTGTGTCAGACTCTGGAAGGAGTCGTGGGTTTTCATTATCATTCTTTGTAGCCTTCTGTCCGTATCCTTTCTCTATTCTTTAGTACAGTTTAGTATAGTATTCTTTAATATAATACAATATCATAAAATAATAAATGAGCCTTCTGAGAACATGGAGTTGGATTCATTCCTTCCTGCCCCAGAAAATACCACACCTGCTCTGTTCAGGGACCAGGGAAACTGCACAGGCAGCTGGAGGAAGCCCAGCTGAGCATGTAGGGAGAAGTTTGGCACAGATGATGATCTATTAAGATTCACTTAAAAATGAAGAAGTGTTTCCAGGTGAAAGTGCCAGTACTGAGACACTCCCAGGGCTTCTCCCTCAGGGCAGCAGCTCAGGCAGCCCCAACAAGCTGAGGTTGTTCTGCAGGGCCACTGAGACAGAGCCCCAGCCCATCCAGGCTTCAAAAATATCACCAGAGCCAAGCATTCCAGAGTATTCCAGACATGATGTTATTTTCCAGTAGAAGTGGTTTTGTTAAGGATTATATTAAAGAAAATAAAATTACCTAAAGCAATAATAAAAATCACTACAAACACATATATACAATTACTAAGTCTGACTTAACATCTACTGCTTCAGACCTTTATCAAAAGCCTACGTCTAAATTGATCTAATCTGATACTTTTTAATTCTGTTCTAAAAATGCAATTAAACAATGATATCTCTTGCTGCAAGTTAAAAGCCATTCCCTTTAGATAACAACCAAATACAACAAGCAGTGAGTTCTGCCATCATTAGACTTCTAACCATATTACTTCTATTTTGAGGTTTTTTTTGTTTGGTCTCAGTTTAATTTCCTGTCAGCCTTACAAGAGATTTCTAATGTTTGGGCTGTAGGATATGCTCTGATTAAAAATAATCTTCCCAATTACTGCCTGGCACAACTCTACTGCCACATGCACTCTGCCACTGGCTTCTGCATTTCTGTCAGCAGTAATTGTGTCTGTAGCTTCTAACTGTAAATGAAAACCCAGGGGGCATATTTGGGTTCCAGTTCCCTTTGCCCAGCCATATCTTTTAATTTGCACTGTCTGTCAAAAGGAGATGTTTGTAGGCACTAAAAGGAAATCCTCAGAACATCAGGTTAAAAAAAGGGAAAAGGAGAAAAAACGAAATGCAACTGGAATATGATAAACCATATTTGATATTTATGCCAGGATACTCAACACAGAGCAGCTCACTGCCTTGATTAGCCTTAGAAAAGGGGACTGAAACCATTTACTGAGCATTTCTAGCTGCACTTCATTACCATTAAATTTAATCCTGAATCTTAAGCATCACCTTAGTATGGCTATTTTTTTTTAATTCAATCATTACAATGAATACTTTACACTACAGCATTTCCTATCACAATGGAAAAAAATGATTATTCCTCAGGCTCTGGGCCCTGGCCTCAGCTGTGCCATGGGGTTTCCACCTGTAGCCTGGCTAACCTCAGACATGGCACTCTGACTACAGTGCCCCTCCTCTCCAGCCTTTGGGCTCCTGTGGGGACTCCAGACCTCAAGGGTCCCCTTGTCCCCCTCCATCCCAGGGGGCTGCTGCTCCTGGAGCCCCCAGGTGGACCCTGGGGCTGTCAGTGGATGCCTTGTGAAGGCTGACCTAGAATGAGGCTGGACAGAGCTAAAGAATAAAGCAGGGATTGATTCAAAGCATCTCCTCCATGGATCCACCTTGGGCAGCACAAGAGCCCAGCCAGGGCTGCACCCAAGATGAACCAAAATGGTCACAAAATGCGTGACAGGCCATGAGGTCTCTCACTTTTATAAGTTCTGCTCCATTTGCATCTTGCAGTTCATTGTCCCATCCCAGCTTTAGCCCCTGCAGTCCCATCCTTGTTTTTCTCTCTCCAGCCCACGGGGTTTGTGCTCTGGGGCTGAGATTTGGATCATTTGTCCTTGGTCCCAGCTGGAGCAGGAATTGTTTTGTCTCCCTGCTCTGTGCACAGAGCTCAGCAGCCCCTCATGAAGCCCAGACCCACACACTAAAGCAGCACAGAATGTGAAACATAGAAAAGCTGAAACCTGAGGCATCAGGTGGAGCTCCTGTCTCAGGAGCTGGCTCTTCTCTCCAGACCCAGCTGGGCTGTGCTGCCCCAGCCCTGGGACACTGCACTGGGAGCCACGGGGCTCAGACCTGGCCCTTGGGGCAGCCACAGCCACCAGGGATGTGCTGGATGCATGTTCAGACCCCACAGGTTCCCTTTTCCTCCCAGGAGGGATGGAGAGGTGGCCCCATGTCCCAGGCATGCTCTGTGTGACAGGAGCAGGATGGGATCAAGGTGCCCTGGGGCACAGAACCGGGATGGACAAAGCACCAAGCACAGGCTGTGCCCTGTGAAGAGGGCACAGAAGAAACTCAAGGAGGAGAAAAAACACCTGATACAATGTCAGAAATGGAGCTTTGAGTGGAAGGGAAAAAGCACAACCAAGTACAGGTGCAGGAATGCACATGGGGTACTGCATGAAGAATATTAACAAGACACTTGCAGATATTGCTAGAAGCAAATATTCACTCCAAAATGAAGAATACTGTAAAATCCTCTGAAAAAAAAAACTTTCTATGAAGTCTCAGTCTCTGATCTTTCAAAATTAAGTCATTGTTTTGGTCTCAAAATGAAAATGGCACACAGCACATTTGGAATCCAAGGGATGCAGAGCATATTTTTGAACAAAGGTATCATGGAAGTCTTCTTTGTGATAGGAGGATAAACACTGAAATTTGGTGAATATGAGAAGGGATTTGTCCAAATAGCACTTAAA